GGCGCAACTCTTAAAGCTATCGAATCAGTACTAGTAATATCATCACACATTACACGAAGCCAAACTACTTATAGTAATTACCTCAAACCAAACAAGAAAAAAATAATTATAACACTAACTGATATATATACGTATTTAGAAAATTTCCTAATAAACATAGATAAGGCCACTCCAAGTTGATTCTTTGTTTAACATAACATCAAAATATTTTGCAAGAGGGGGGGGTAAAAAAAATAATCAACAAAAAAAAAACACAGCAATTCTATTGGCTGAAAAAAAATATAAAAAATGTCAAAACGAATACTGCAATTTGATTGTGTTGGTTTTTTATCTAAAATTTTAAAAAATAGAGGGGGCTATGTTAAACAAAGAATTAAATTAGCGAGCCTTATATTGAACAAAAAATTAAATTGCCACAGCCTTATTGCATTACATATTATATCATATAATAATCACAGTGATAACTGTTACAGGTTTTCTCTGACCGTCGCTCATATATATATACTGTGTATATATATATATATTTTTAACCTGGATTTACATACTACATGTATTTATATTTTATACAAGCGCTTTTTCATATCTTTCCATTTTTGCATACATTTTTGCAAACCATTAAATATTATACTATATTTGAATAGATTTCTAAAGCTTTACTTAAATCAGAAAGTGATTCTTCATACCTACTCAAATATTTATATAGGTTTTCCACAATAATTCGGTGTTATAGTGTCATTTGGGTTAATTTTTAATGATTTAAATTGGTAAGTGATTCTTTATATCTATCCATAAAACAATAGAATAATTCACGATTATCCAATGCTTTATTATCGTTTGAATAAATTTCTAAATATTTATTTAAATTAGCAGCTAATTCTTTATATCCGCTCATCTTTAGATATATTATTCGCAATTATTCAATAATGAAGTATTATTTGGATCAAGTTCTAATAATTTATTTAAGTTAGTAGTGATTCTTCATATCTGACATACCATTTCACGATTACTCAATAGTAGAGCATTATTTGAACTAATTTCTAAAGTTTTATTTAAATCAGCAAGTGATTCTTCATATTTGGTTTTATTTCTAATAATTTATTAAATAAGCAAATGATTTTTATATCTGTTTATCTTTTGATATTTCTTTATGATTATTCAATGCTTTTATATTATTTAAATTAATATTTTCAACTTTAATCATTAGTAAATTAATGCATTGCACAGGCATATATAATAATATTCTGAAGATGTGAAGTAATATAAAATAATTATCAATAATACTGAAATATAGAAATATTATGAATTCCGCAACGAATATTATGAAATCAGAGCTATATTTCATGTGATTTAATATTTTTCTCCTAACATATTCGAAACATGCAAATAAAGTTTTAGCATAAACTATAAAATTTATATCACTAAATTTATTGCATAAACAACTATCTCCATATTTAATATATATTCATACTAGTTTATAATATTCTACTAATAACTACACATCAAACTAAATCTTACCTACTAGAATCAATTAACTTTACGTTTTTTTGTAGCTTTCGTATGAGTTTTAATTTCACCACGTACAAAAAATTCTTTTCCTATATCTCGACATAATGTACAGCATGGGAATAAGGATTTGTACTTTGACTTGAGACTTTCTGAAGGTTCTGCTAACTCATTATCATATCCACACCAATAACAAATATTACCATTAATATTTGATTTTCGACAAGAATAATATGCCAATTCTATTGGTGTTTCACAACTAATTTTTTCTCTTACAAAAACTTCATTGTATAGAATATGGTCCTCTGGAACAAATGGTGATCCACAACTATAGTTCCAATTATTTATTGCATTTTGGCATATTGTTTTATTCTCTGCTGATAATGAGCTTTCACTATATAAACAGCGCATTTTTCTACATTGAAAGCATTGAATAAACTCTCTAACCCGTGTATTTACTAAAAGAGATAAGGGTGCACGTTCATTATTTGTAATTGTTGTTATAAGTGTTGGACGATATTGTTCAGTTGTTGTTGACCTATAAAAATTAATTGAAAATTTTCCTAATGATCTTTATCGACTGTAATTAATAAAATTTATTCTATTAGAATTATATATAATATAGTATAAACAAATACTTAAACATACTTGTAGAAGGAATAGGATCTGGTAGCCAATTTAGTGAATTAAAAACATCATCCGGAAGACGAACAGGCTGACAAATAGTACAAGATAACTGATTACATTTTTTTATCTAAAGAATGTTTAATATTATTATTATAAAATTACTTAAAAGCTATAAACATAAATATGTAGCCTTTCTAGGTGTAACTTGTATAAAATTAAGTATATATTTGAGTTAAAGTTTAAAAAGTGTTGCATTTAGAAAGGCCCGACTGTAATAACAATTTACCTGAAAGACATATTGGCAATATCTGCAATGTGCTTGCATAAAATGTTGTAAATCTTTTTTCTTTGATAAAATATTACTTGTCGTTTCTGAAATCTTTAAGTTCGATCAATTAACAATATTATCTAATAAATAATAATTAATATATTAGTTAAAATAATTTACTTTCGAAATTTATTAATTAAAACATACATCAAAAAATTCATCAATCTCTGTTTTGTCTACTGGAGTATAGCATTGAAATGGTTCACCATGTAAAACTAATCTTTCAATACGTTCTTCTAATAAACGCTGTATGCATTCTATACATTTACGCAAATCATTCTGCAAATTTGAATTTGTATTAGCAGCAGTACGAATTTCATTTAACGTATCCAATTTAGCAAATTCTGTCTCTGATTCTGAACTCATTATATCTCTAACTAATGCTACTCCCTGTAAACCTAAATTTAAAATAGACATAATCCTTTCAGCAGGATTAGTCCAACTATGATAAGGTGCTGTGCGCATTGCAATAAGCATATCAAAATTACCATGTAAAAATAAACAAATAAGAGAAATTTGAACTAAAGAAAAAACTATACGATGATCAGGACCACCATCAGTATAAAGACAAAGAATTGGTGGAATATTGTTATAATAATTAGAAGAAATTATATGATAAAATTCAGTAGCATGTCTAATCGCACTACTTGGTTGAAATACCGTATCTTTGAATGAAACAAATACTTTTCCACTATAAAAAGAATTTTCAATAGATTGAGGAATATTACAAAAAAATATTACAGAAGGGGTAAGAGATAATTTTGTAAAATCGTGATCATATGCAACCAAAGAAGTTTCCTGAAAAACTATAGATTTTTTATTACGCACACCAGTAGATGTATTAACGTCTTCTCCAATAGGTACTTTATGTTTATCATCAGCACAGATAAATAAAGTATGTTGTCGATATAAAATTGCAAATTCTCTCAAATATCGAAAAAGAGCTGCACAGTAATGCATATCTGGATGATCTTTGCGAAGCTGTCTTGCCTGAACCATAAACTTGATATTAAAACGTCCAGTATGTTGTTTAGCTCTTTCAGTAGTTGGATTTGTTGGTTGAAATTGTAAACGTATCCATTCTTCGCTTGGAATTAAGATAGTTTCAGATATAAACTTATTATTTAAGCATTGAGTAATTATTTCACGAAGATCATGTATTGAAATGGCAAGAGGCATATAAAGAACATTTCCATGCCAACGATCATTGACTGCTGAAGCATTCTAATAAAATAAATTAAATAGACAACTTACTATATTGAGTAATGCCAAGAGAAGCCAGACTTCAATCATATAAAATTTATATTAATTGAAGTCTGGTTGTCACTTATATAGGATATAGTGTTTATAGTTAAGAAAAAAAAAGAATAAATTACTTCATTAAAATAAGCTTCTAATTCATTCCAAAATAGATCAAATTTGGTTTCTTTAAATCCATTATTCTGACGTAAGTCACATATAATTGATGGATCTTCTATTGCTAACATAAGACAAAGTCGTTCTTCTAACTCTTTACTAATCTCATTTGATGTTGTAGCAGCATCACCAGTTAAATCATGATATAAAACACGTAAAAAAGCAGGCGTAACATTCCGAATTAATGAATACTATTATTATTTTTGTGGGTTAAAAGTTAGTATATTAAAATTACTATATTTTTTAAGCAAAACATACAATATTTACCTTTTTTACCACATTTTTTTGCATTTGTCGACTAAAATATTGTGGTAATCTTCCTTGAATAGATGCTATTACACGTGCTTGAGTAGTCTCTGATCAGTTTTCAGGATTAAATGGAATCTTCCAAATATAGTTAATAGTACCAAGATAATTACCTTGATAATAACGATATAAAGTAACTGGAAATTTTATTTGAAGGTTCTTAATATAATGATAACGTTGTACTACGTCTTTAGGTAAAAATCTTTCTAGATTAGTTTCACTATAATCATCAACATTAGATAAAAAATCGTGAAGTTGTTGTTATTGTATATTAATCTTTTGACATGATTCAATCATATATACTTTTAGATCATTAGCTGGTTGACGTGCTGGTGTATCACTTAAGTGTATTTCTTTCATAGCTTGGTTAATTTGCTCCAAGTTATTTGCATATTTTCGCATCGAAGATATCAAGATAAAAACCTCATTAATAATTAATTCCCAATTATCATTTGCTGCCCATGGCTGCATTGCTGATAGTTCTAATGAGGAAGCTAGTTGCTCAAGTTTATCACGTTTAAGATTAGATTTGGCATGTTTTCCAGTATTATAAAAAAGATTATAATGTTGGTCCTTCTTATACTGATCCAATTCATTAAATAATTCTCCAAGTGAAAGATACCGTGCTGTAAACTTTATACAATGTGGATCTATATACCACAAAGCTGCAGTTAAACGTTCAATAAAACTTTTTCCAATAGTATTATGCATTGCATTTTTCCATCCGACTTCTTTATTTTGAAGCAGACAAATAATATCAATATAAAGTAAGTCTCTATGAGTATTCTCTTTTTTTAGTTCAGGAAGTTGAGTATTTTGTGAGTTTTTCATAAGAAGATCAAATGCATTTGGACCTTGGTGAAAAGATTTTTGAATGCTAGTCTCGGCTACATCCAAAACAAATTTAATATGAGTAAAATTAAGTTCAAATAATATTGATACATCGCCTTGTAACCCTTCTTCTACATAAACCCATTTTTCTGGAGGCTTTCTCAAAAATACTCGAACAATACAATCTTCAAATTGATCGTTTGTTGTTGCATTAAACACATTATTAAAGAGAGTATGTTCAGTAAGCAACACATTTACAACCTTATCTGGAATAATAGTTTTCGTTTCTCTAAGTATACATACGACAAAAAAACCCATTACTTAATAAATTTTGCTAGTGTTCATATATTTTAGGCTTCCCAGAAAATAATTATTAAAGACCAGAAATTGAAAAGTCAAAACATATTGATATAGCGATAGTCAAAATAAATTATATTATTATATAAACTTGTTATAGCCAATTATATTTGAAATAAATTGCTTGAAAATGCGCGAAATGGCTATAAAATATAAAATTTTATGTTACTATAATTCTTAAGAGAGAAATATTGTACGTAATAAAATAGTTTGCTTACTAAATTTAGTAGGTAATTAAAGTTTGGCGTTAGATTAAACTTGATATATCCATTGAATTTTCATGTGTTAATAAATTATCCGATGTGAATTTAAAGTATTCAAACAACAACGTTTTATGATCATGAGATCCCTTGTATTCCTAAAAAGTTAAATATGGAGATAATTTTCTTTTGACAAATAACTTTCTGAATTTACTTGGATTAAACTTTTTTTTGCGATTTTGAGAAGTATAGGATGAACTTCATTTTTAAATTAAATTTTTGGTGGATTCCATATTTTGCGTAAAATATTATTTATTACGTGAAGAAATATATAAATATTCACATGCTTGTTTTGTTTTTATAAATGTTGTTCAACAAAGTTTGTAATATTTATCAAAGCCAAATTAAAATACACGCAAATATTTATTACTCACTTCTTACTTTGCTTTGTTTGTCTATTTACATGACTTCTTCTATCTACTAGTTTTATTCAAGTTATGAAATGGGAAGATCAATCATATATCGATCAAACCTTTTTTATTTTTTTGATTATATAATATTACATCAATGATATATTTAAATAAACTTTTAAATTACTTAAACTTACACGTATTTTAATAATATATACCCCTATTTCTTTTTTAGTAATTACAGTATAAAAGACCCAAATACTCAAAAATCGATTTTCAATATATTAACTCTTAATTTTTATAAAGTAGTACCTCTCTAACATAGTACCTGCTTTGATACAGTTAGAGAGTAGAATCGATAAATAATAATTCAACTATCGGTCAAAAGCTTTCATTCATTGAGTTTTTAATTCGGTCAATTATCATGTATTGGTCAAAGTTAAATTTAACTATAAGTTTTGATAGTGATAAATTTTTGATTAAATAAACAATTTTTGTAAATATTGATTTAATAAAACTTTTCAATTGATATTAATTAAACAAATTTAATTTATATTTAAAAAACGTGAATATTCAGATATTGGTCAAATTTTTACTGAAGTTCGAAAATTTAAAGTTTGTAATGCTCGCTATATACAGTATTTTTCTTAATATCGATATTATAACAGGGTATAATTCAATATCTTATATTATACCTGGAGTTTTACTTCACAAATACGGTATTATTTGTCTTTATTATTCAGTTTAAACTAGTAATCACTTGGTTCAAATAATTTATTTTAGGTTCAATAGTTACTTAAACCCAAGTTATTTGATTCTAAAATAGGTTCTTTAAATCTAAAAATAGGCTACTTGAATCTGAAGTAGGTTTATCTGTGCCTGACTTATATATATATATGTGTTGTTTAATTCCCCTCTATTATTTTGCTCAGAAAGAGGGGGGGTTATGTTAAACATAGGTTTGAATTGGAGTGGCCTAAATTTGAAAAAGAAGGATTAATACCTTTTGAAATAGCCAACGTACTCCAAACAGTACTAATAACAATACAAGTATTCCTCCAAAGTGAAGAAATATCTCAAAGTAAATACGAATCTCATTCAACAATAATATCATATATTGAAGCAATTAAACAACAAAATATTTTAAATAAATCACACGCTACTCGACCAGA